TTTTTATGCTTATTTTATATCGCTTCGAGTCTGATGCGACTATATGGCGATTGATCAAGACTTTAAAAATGGTTAGATCTCACCATTCTACCCGGCCAGGAATCGAACCTGGAACCTATCCGTTGTGAGGCAACGGCCTTAACCACTACGCCAGGCCACCGGGCTATTTTTCTAAATTTGTTGTTTATTAATAAACAATTGATAATTGGTCAAACTTTTGGAAATTTCATTTTTTGGGCATGAAATCGATTTCTGCTAAAATTCTGAATATGAATAAATTTGTTACGATTCATTGTTTATGAATTACTTATAGAAAATGCTCGTAATTTTTAAAAATTGCAATTTTTTCATCATTTTATCAATCCTCCTCCAAAAATAAACTTTCTATTTTTTTCAGATTTTTAAAATGTGTTCTATCAGTTCAATATCAAGATTCAAATTCGGACCTGTACAGTTCAAATAATGAAATCATTGCAAAATGTTCGGAAACATAGGGTCGAATGAGGTTCAAATAAAAGCTCCGATGTTTAACTACAAAATGAGAAAAGCATTTCACCAAAGAAAAAGTATTTGGATATCCTTAAATTGAATTAAAAGATTCAATTAATTCAACCTCGTTCCAACGTTGACAGCCAACATTGCCTCAATGTTGAAATTTTCCACTTTTCCCTGAATATTAATTTCCAAACCAATTTTTACAACAACAGATGATGCAATTCATCTCATGATCGAACTCAGTCAAGATGGCATTGGCAAGAATATTTTAAATCAGAATTGGATGCATTTAAACAATTATTTTTTCTGTTATCGTCGAAAAACGATCGGTCACATATACAATCACATATATAATGCTCACAGCATATTCGAACGCCTGAGGCCGAAATTAGTTATCATGACACAAAAAATTGAAAATTTCGCATTCTCCGAATACAATGTTACCATTCGGAAGCAAAAGAATGAAAAGAATGGAAAATTGCTATGAAACAGTCACCAATTTTCATTCCGCAGGCATTCGTTGCAGGTGATAAAGAAAAACGGCATTTTTCACCGAACATTTTGAAAATTCGTTTAGCAAGATCCCCGTGACATCCTTAATTGGATCAATAACAGTAGTCATCTAAAATTCCATAGCGAGGCTTTATATCGCACCGGGGCTAAACCATTTTTTGGGTTTTTTTGTTCCCCGGGAGGCAGGTCATCGGCGTTTTTTATCAGCACCTTTTACCAGAACGTGGTGATATAAAATGCCATTCGCTTGTCATTATCATGCAATATGTTCAATTCATACGTGATTGGAACTTGGGCTCAATGGCTGGATCCAAATTACACGGAAATGTGAATTCGAACTGAGGTATCGACAGGACTTTTATAAAAGTGATGTTTTTTCGGAATTGAGTCGACCCATTTTCGTTATCCAACGGGCATTGAGAGGTTTCCGTGAATTCGGTGCTATCAACTCCGAGAGAAAAAAAACATGTTCTCAAACAAGGCTTGCTTGAACCAAACAAATCCCAAGTTGGAAATAACCAAGAATAAAATGTTCAGTTCAGTTTATTTATTGTTCAACGATACCAAATCTTGATATACAATGTGTCTCCGGGGGGCCGGAGTGAACGATTTATATTATTTTCACAGAAAAACATGGGAATAATCCAAGCTCAAATTGTTTAATATACGAGCCCGTTTGATATTTATCAATAGTTTACTGTAATGCATAAGCAATATTTTACGTATACTTTCTTACTCGGCGCAAGGAGATCCTTGATTTCTAACTTAGCTGGTTCATTTGGACTACAAATATTATAAATAGAATAAAATACTTGATTTCCTTGATGCTACTGTTACAGTTTTACATCTACACAACCCAATCAACAAATATCTCCATAACACTCCAATAAATTGTTTTTGTCAATAATGTCTTTAGGGTGTAACAAATGATGGTAATATCACAGTATCACAATTTGCGCACTTTCGCAATTTCTAGTTTCTTAAAATTTCTTTTCGCTGTAATATCTCAACACTCTTTCTATTTTAGCTAGTCCTACACATAACGGTACATTTACTTCTCCCACTAGGGCATTTATTAACTTCTTCCTTCAGCTTCTTTGATTTGTCTTTCCTCTCTAGTCTGTCCACCAGTCTCTATCTGTTGCTTTCAGTCTTCTCATCACCAGCTCGCAGCTTATTGCGTGCTCTATAGATTCTACAGAGTCATTGCATGCCCGGCATTTGGTATCCATATAGTTGCCTTTACCCTCTCTCACTGCATTGCCACATCTCCATCTAGCCCAAGTCTCTTTCTGCCAAGCCTTAATATTATAAATATTATTGTGGATGTACTTGGTGAGTTTAACTCTTTCGCTCTACTCTCAAAAGCACTGGAACGCAAAACGCAATGCTCCATCATATCATATCCCTCAATTTGTAGGTGATTCGCGATTGTGAAATTCAATGGGTGCAGTTCTGAAATTCAATGATTTTGTCACCAATTTTTAGTGACGTCTTATTCTATATAATCCTTTTTATTGTATTACCTTGAGGCAAAGTTGGCTGTCAACGTTGGGACAATATTGAATTTAATTTTAAAAAATACATCGTCATCGAATTTCCATTCGAAAGAAAATTGCTAATTTATTAGCAAAAACATATTGACTATATTGTGACGACAGCAATTTTCCACTTGTTTAATCTGTAAACCGAGACCCAATTGATCCAATCGCACCATTTGTTCGATATTGACGATTGTAGACGGCCAATTTTACCCCACTCACTGGCAAGTATAGCTTTATATGGCCCGTATGGAGTAAATTTTTTTGAAATTTCACAATTCCAAGCCTTCAACAGTCAACGAATCAAATGTTCCAACGTTATCATATTCCACAGGGGACTGGAATTTCCATATTCCTTGAATGCTTGTTCAGAGGAGGTGCAATATGTGAAGTGAGTCACTCGTGAATTCCGCCTTCAGTGAATAACTGGGGAAAAAAGTAAAGGAGTGAGGATGCATCTTCACTCGGCCATGGGCCTCAGGCAGTGCTAGGTTTTTCCCGCAAAAGGAACATTCAGGCAAAGGAGCATAAAACCCTGCGCTCTCGTTGACACTCGAGCTTCAAAAGTTCGCAAAAATTGCATCTCTTTGGATGTAAACTCTTGACAAAAGGACGACTAAACAATTGTGAGGAGTAAAAAACGACGATTCTCTATTCAGAAAAATACAGGAGAGCAACGGAAAGATACGGTAGTTGATAAGGAGGTCCGATTGGGTTAAGGATGTATTACACCCTTTTCGCCAAAATTCACGTTTTTTGAATTTTTCTGGTAAATTGTTGATCGGATTGACGTGAAAAAATATACCGTTTTTGCGTTTCATCATTACCTAATGGCTCACGAAATTTCATAATCGTGCAATCATTTTCCTGCGTTTTTTATAAAACTTTTCAGAAATTCACAAAACTGGAGAAAAAATGCTTCCTGCAATGATTGCACTACCATGAAACTTCGTGAGTCAGTCAATAATGATAAAACGCAAAAACGGTATATTATTTCGCATCAATCCGATCAATAATTTGCCAGAAAAATGAAAAAAAAAACGTGAATTTTGGCCGAATGGGTGTAGTACATCCTTAAACCTAGTCTGGGCTCCGCGGAGATTCACCGCCTCGTTATTTTGGCGCCAGCCTTGCCGAATTCACTTTACACTGCCCGAGCGCGTTTAGGGACTCTCCGGCAACGTCGCATAACGCGCAATTTCAGTTAACGTGGGAAAAATAAACCATCCGTCAAAATAGTTTGTTTTCTTCATGAATTTCCCGAATTATGTTGTTCTAAAAACTAGGGGAGGATGGGGCAAAACGGCCCCCCTTCAATCGTCAATATTTTCCGATTCAATAATCCGATTGGGATGAGTTAGAGCTCGTTTTGAAGAATGAAAAATTATCTTCAAAATGAAGTTGAAACTGGGAATTTTCACAATGTCATTCACAAGTTATTGACAATTGAAGGGGGGCCGTTTTGCCCCACCCTCCCCTACTATAATTTTTTAACCAATCAATTCAATTGTAAAAGTAAATTTTTTTCATTTTCCGGTTAGCCAGTCAATGGTAATTAAAGAAAAACGATGCGGTGTGGCGTTTCCCTCATATGGGGACCAATTATTAAATTATAATGACGAAAATGACATTTTGATCATATTTTAGATTCAGATACATTTTTAAGATCATCTATAAAATGCGGAAAGAAGCGACAGATGGTAAACAGAAACACCTAAACGTATACTGGTAGAAATTTTTTGAAATTTCATGGAAGATATCATAGTAAATCTTATGAGAGTTACATTGAATCGAATTTAGGAAGACAATGGTTATGAAATTTCAAGTTTTAAGTAGAATTCACGGAAATTCATGAGTTTTCGGTGGTAGTGAGATGGAAATTTCACAACTTGAATTGACATGAATGTTCAATTTTTCCCTGAATTTTCGCTGAATAATTGAATTAAAAAATTAAGTATTTTATTGATTTCCAGATCATTTAAACAGAAAATCAATGGAATATTTGATTTTTCAATCTCAAGATTTCCTGAAATTTCAGTGGAACTTGAACATGATAAAAATTTCCGGAATTTAGCATGAAAAATTCAGACAAATTTTTTTAGCAGTGTAAAGTGACTAAAGCAGAATAATAAAAATTAAATATTGAATTGAGATATTTTTCGTAACGCTATCAACATTCTTCCCCATAATCTTCAGTGACTTGAGCTGTATCGCTGGGCTCAAACCGAAAACTTCAAATTTGAATCTAAATAACCCAAAATGCTCAATTTACCCTCAATTCCCTCAAGTTTATGGCGGCACGATATTGTGTACAACGTACAGCTAAAGAGTTGTCGAGTAACCGGTGGCAAAGGTCTTGCAACCTCTCGGGCTCACCCAAGTCATATTAATAGTGATTAGCGAGACGCTTCAGTGAAACACGACCTTGCGCTGCTCTCGTTGTGCCGGATACTAACTCTTTAATTTCGCGAGTGAACTTACTCCGCCTCAGACAATCACTCATCAAATATCCGTTCAAATCACGTTTTTTTTTGCTCTCGTTAAATGATTGTGTCAAGCCCTGTGCAATCATCGGAGAACACAAAATGGAAAAATATTCTCAATCATAACGAACGGTAAGATAAGTTTCAAGTTAAAGAAGTGTATTCACTTCTTCACTATCCGAAAATTCATTTAGAGATTGGTTTCTGTTGAATGCCGCAAAATTGAAAGGATATACCGGAATTTTTATCAGAGATTTTTTTTAGCTTTTATTCCACGAAGGGAGAAATTTTCTAGTTTCCAATAAAAACTCTAGTCTCCCCTACTGTTCCTGTGGTATCTTATACGACGATTGGGCTGCATCTCCCGTGGTTAGAACTGGATTTTTTGACTCGGTGTAGACGCAAAGTAAGATTTCCCTTCCGCTTTGTGGGAGATAAATGTGTACTTTGCGGCCGCTGTGGCTAAAAAGTGTTGTTTGCGCTCGCCGAAGGTGAGTGCTACACTCCCAAAGGTCAACGAACACTTTTCTCATAAGTGGCGAACTTTTTTTCATCACAATGTGTGGAAATTTCACTTTACCCACCAGTGATGAAATACACTATTATATTATGGGCTCGAAAACCGTGATGTAACCCAGCGAAGTGAGGTTAGAATCGCGGTTTATCAGGCCTAGTAACATAAAGGAAGCGTTTCACAAGTAAATGAAATGATAGATAATCGCCAGGGATCCCCATCAATATTAAATTTCTGTAATATTACACAAATTTGACCCTTACATTATTGAAGGTTTAAAATATGTTGATTTAATTTTTCCAATAATATAATATTAATAATCTGATTTTTACGAATAATGCAATATTTAAAATTTGTTAATATGCAACTGTAAATTTACTACTAAGTAAATAATTCAAATTTTAGAAAAGGGGATTTTCGATTACACAAGTAATCGTCAATTTTCTACCTTAAATTGTCGATTGCCCAAGTAATCGTCAATCTTCTACCTTAAATTATTGATTGATAAAATAGTTAAAATTTGAATATTTGAATTGATGATATTTAATTACTCAAAGATTACAAGGTTGATGTTTTTTCAATTTAAGGGCCCAAAAGTAATTATAATAAATCATTACAAATATGGCTATCCCTGATAATCGCACGCTTGCGGTCTAGTTTTTCTGAATTCAAGTAACAAGTCTCCCATTCTCAGTTTAATGCCTTCTTTCCTTTCTCCGTGTATCGCTTTGTGGTTTGAATCAACCCTAAAACTAGAGAATTTCATTCCCTAGATGCAAAGTGTGTAATACTCCAAAAGAAGAGGTAAAATATATTGGGCAAGGGTTGATTCATACTTTATAATATACCGACAATGAATACAATTTGAATCTATTAACTACCTTTTATCTTTTTGGGCAAGTCTGTTAATTATCTTTAATTATAAAAGATACTTAACACAGACTTGCCCAAACGCAATACAACAGTAAAACGCCGTTGTGAAATCAATTTGAAGGCTGTGGTTTATTTTGAAATCCTGAACTCTATGAACCTAACGTTAAATTAATGTACTATGTCAATGATGTTCGTGATCTTATAAAAGCACAAACATCTGTTTTTCCGTGACCCTGTGTTTTGAATTACGCCGTGAAGTTTCACTGGCTACAATTGCAGTACACACGCAATTCTAACAATTTATCGAGATGCTCTCGATTGATTAAGAAGATGCCCGCGAGTGATGCGTCATTTTTCGTAGTAAAAAAATTTTTTTTCTGATCCTCAACCCACACAGACAAAAGCGAACAATCCTGGAAATAGGTGGAAGTATAACGTATTTTAAGAAAATTTTCTCAAAATGAAAAAATAGGGAAAATGGAAAATAGGGTTCGCGACTCGTGGGAAAAGTGTTCTTTGACCCAAGGGAGGATAGAACTCGCCTTCGGCGAGGACCACACATCTCCTACGGGTAAAAAAACACTTTTTCCGTACTGACCTTCACTTTACCTCGTCCGGGGATTGGTATTGGCCCTTCCCCAAACTCGTAAAAGTGAAAATCACTACGGAAAAATGTCGTTCACGACTAGTGCCATGGAGTTTTTTTACTCGCATGGTTGGCCAGTCCTCGTCTTCGGCTCGGACGCCAACTCCACGCGAGTAAAAAACTCCATGGCACTCGCCCTGAAACCTACTATTTCTGTACTGCTTCTCACGATTTCTCGTCTGGGAATTGGTATTACATACTTCCCAAACTCGAAAACTTGAAAATCACTGCAGAAAAATATTGTTCCTGGGCTGTTGCGATGGGGTTTTTTTACTCGTGTGGTTGGCCAGTCCTCGCCTACGGCTCGGACGCCAACTCCACGCGAGTAAAAAACTCCATGGCACTCGCCCTGAAATCTACTATTACGCATTCGTATCTAAATATACTATTGTGTTATTAGTGCCTACGGGTCCACTTATTCACACGCACGTGTAACACATCCTATTTTAATACATGCCGAGTTCACTTTTCGGGGATGTAGTGTACACGGAGAGAAAAATACACGACAATCTCGTTGAAGGTCTCGCCAAAAATTAGTGTGCTACCCACCAACGCGGGGACGTGTCAGGAGGTACGCTGGTAATCGAAATGTAACACTCCTATAATTCGGGGGAATAAGTTAAAAAATAGTAGGCGCGCACCACAAAGTCGTGCGCTCGGGGATCCAAAAATTAGTGTGCCAATCCACTAAATGCCATACGATAGTCTACGTGCACACGGAGAAAAAAATACATCGTAATTTTATGAGAATCCTTCCAAAAATTAGTGTGTTCACCAACGCTGAATTCGCATGTGGCACACTAATTTTTACGGGAATCCCCCGAAAAAGTGGCCGAAGTCCCACCAAAAATTAGGGTGCCACTTATGAATTTTTCGACGACCCCATGTTATGTCCCGGCGTTGGGGGACAGCACACTAATTTTTGGGAGATTTTTTTCTCAGTGCATACGAGGCTTATTCATTCTTCAAAGCACAGAGGTCACCACTTAGTAAAGGAGCACAGGCGAAAATTTAGTGAGTGGCACACTAAAATTTGGAGAGGGGCCCGCCAGTTTTTCGTCTTTAGTTCCATAAAAATGCGATTCCTTAGACTAGTTTCTAATGAGCGGAAAAAAGTGGGGTGCAGGACACGAAATTTTGGAGAGAGTAATTCTAATTTGTGTAGAGNATAGGATGTTCTCTATTTATTTGTGCCCTATTCGGTACGGCCCATGCGTCAGTGGGAAGGTACACTAATTTTCGAGAGATTTTTTTCTCTGTGTAAGTAAAGTGTTTGGTTTTTTGTGTGGAGTGCGTAAAGTTCAAGAGCGTGCGTAAAGCGAAGCTTTAAGGAGAGTCTGCAGTATATTGTAGTTTATAAATGCTCGTCATTCGTTTGCGTCACGTTGCAAAGGTAATTAATATATCTATATTAAATACCAAACGGAGGACGTGCGTCGATTGTAGACTCTGCCTTACACACGAGAATTCACTTTGCGTACGCTCGTGAACTTTACGCACGCCGTGCGAAAAATAACCGCTTTACGCACACTAAAACATTTTAAAAAATCCACTTTTCAGGATGGTATCATAAAAGGTGAACTTTTCAGGCAGTAATTGCAGTATAGTATACTTGGATACGAGTGCGTAAAAGAATTTTTTGATCACGATGTTGTGAAAAATTGGTACACCCTCCGCGTCCGTAAATTTTCACTTTACGCACAAGTGATGAAGAATCTATCTCTCTTAATCTATTCTATAAACTCTGAAAAGGATTTCCCCTAGAAAAACTTGCCCGAATTACTCGGAGAGAAATTTTTGATAAAAATTATCCTACCGTTCTATAAATGTATATCATGAGTCATCGTTTCCTCATTTCTATCCCGAAATTTAGTAAAAATTAGTATATGATGATCAAATTTTATTCTACATTAGACAAATTTTATCCTGACGCATAATAAATTTTACCCTTCCAGTCCAATAATTTTTATGTAGATAACGACGAAAATTCTAGAACGGTTGGTAAATTTTACCCTACCGGCAGGGTAATTTATATTTTTATCAGGATAAAATTTCTCTAATGTAGAATAAAATTTGATCATGATATATTAATTTTCACTAAATTTCGGGATATAAATGAGGAAACGATCACTCGTGATACACTTTTATAGAGCAGTAGGATAATAATTTTTATCAAAAATTTCTCTCCGTGTACGTGAACATCCTTAAAATCATTAACTTGATTATCGAAACTACAAACTCTTTTTCTCTGCACACAGACCTATTGTTATGATTAATTCTCCGTGACACCTACCATACGTGGAATATCTTGATATATCCTGTTTCCGGTAACGTGAAAACATGTTAATTCACGAAACGAGAGAGGCAATTGGAGGTGTTGCTGCATGTGTACAAAGGGGCGACGCGTTTGAACAATCGATTGAACACGTGGCCAATGACAATTTCCGCGTTATGATGCAATTGACACATTGATAGAACTTGAAAGTTCAACGGGCGATGGATGAGATAACGATATAATGACGTTTTCGGAATTTCCCATGCTGGCAGAGCGTTATGTCGATACTGGGCAAATAATCCAATTGAATGTGTCTCTTTCAGAGTTTATGGTCTGTTATTATTACGGGTTACCACTGGGAGTTCTTTGTTGCCAGATGTCAGACGTATTTTCAAATGACTCAAAATTATCTGCCTCATTCCCTTCAGGGGAAACCAATGTTTGGATAAAACCGGTAAAAAAAATTAGAATAACACTTGAAGTGACAGAATCGGTACAGCCTGAGGTTTTGAAAGTAAATTGTTGTGATAATCAGGAGAAATATTGTGATTTATGAATTATTTATTTCTCTGTTGTCTAAAGTGACATTTCAGAAAAAAATGTGAAACAGAGAAGGAATTTTTCTATTCAAAACGTATTTTTTATGCAGATGAATAGTGGACGGTATGAATTTTTTATGGAAAAGTCAAAATGTTTTCATTTCAACTCATAGCGGACGTGGTCGAACGAATGGTGTACCTGTTACTCAATCTAATTGTTACTCTAAGTATTATCATCAACAGAATCATTTAGAAAATGAAATAATTAATTAAAGTAGGATGAATAAAGTTCAGTTGAGTAGTTGAGTGTAACGAGGAAAAATAAATTCAAAATGCCAAAAAAATGATTCAACATTAAAAATTTTTCCCGCAAGCGGTCGGGGTGTTGATGCTCATTCATTACGCCCCATTTCCTGTCGGATTCGATATTCCTTTTTTCCATTAATTATAATCGTTTATAATCGTTTTCATTGCAAAAAACTATACGACCGATGAGAATCATACGTCCAAATTTATCAGCGGTTAAATCTTAATATTACAATAAATGATTTGCTAATGTTCTAATTCCCATGCTCACTGGATAAGATTTTAATCATAATTACAATTCAATTCCTTCTAAAACACACTTTACACTGAGAAAAAAACAAACACGTTGTCAAACAAGTCTTGTTTGGGCCAACAAAATTGCTAGTTGAAAATTGCCAAAAAAGAATTTGTTTGGTTCGAATTTGAAAGTGTCAAACATGAATAATTGTTCTGCTTTCGACAGCAACGAAATATTTGGCTCAAGAGGCGGATAATTCACACCAGACGGTGCCTTTTCAGGATGAAAATATCTCATACAGAGGAAAATCAACAAATTATCAACAAATATTTTATCCATAACTTACAAGATTGCTATCATATCATTATTATCGTTTCATTAAGGGTTCATTTGTTGTCTGTGATTATTAGACAACCGAAAGAAAAAACTGCTATATCTTGTTTCGCATAAAACGAAGATTTTTCGGGAGCAAAATACGTATGGGAGTATCGAATAACGAAGGAGTAGGGCTAGAAATGACATTTCTTGCATGTACAATGAATGCAATTTTTTTTAAACTACTAAATCTATTTTTGTGATATAAATTTTTCATTCCGGCGCACTCTCTGCATGTTTGGCACAAAAAATCCTTTTTTGATCATTTTCAAAAGACTATTTTCTTTGCACCAGTAAGACTTGTTTGAGAACTTTGTGGTTTTTCTCTCAGTGTAGAGTGTGAATTTCTGGAATTCAATGTTTGTTGATGCTCTGGTAAAAGTGCGTGCCCACACTGTTATCAATTTTTAGTTAGTTCGCACGGTAATTTAATTAATCTGCTGTTCATCTTATCAATATAATTCCGCGCTTCGAATATAGTCATCTCGTGTTTTCAGCACCAAATTAAAAATTCAGAAATGAGAGATAATCTCATAATTCTCGCTATTAATTCTAATCAACTTTGTTCGAACAAAACCTTAGTGAACGCAAGATTAAGAAAGTAGAATTATTCTATTTTCCTCCGATCTAAATAGTTTGGACAATTATGATTCGTTTATTCATGTTGATATTGAACCGTTATAAAATATTTTGAAAATCTGAAAAAAATTAGAAAGTTTACTTTTGGAGAAAGGTTGTAGAAACAATTTAAAAATTGCAATTCCTGAAAATAACGAGCATTTTCTATGAATCATTGATAAACAATCAAATTTCCACCACAAAAGTCATTTGTTAGGACTCGTAACAAATTTGTTCATATTCAGAATTTTACCAGAAATCGATTTTATGGCTAAAAAAATAAGGTTTCCCAAAGTTCAAACGATTTCAATTATTCATTTATATACACCCACTTCAAAAAATTTCTAAAAAAAATATACAATATGGGCCAATTCCATCTATTTTTTAAATTTATAAAGAATATATAAAACATATATTTCATATATTTTTTTATATAAATGTGGTAGATAAATTTAAGGTATTTTTACATATATTTTTAAAAATATAAATTTTTCCGTGTGGGCAACGAATGTATAAAAAAAATAATAATTCTATGCCAAACGGACTTTTTTTACGCAATTCGATTAACCAATTTGATGCTTGAAAATGGTTGAATCTATAGTGTGGTCTCTACCAAACTCTAAAATACAGCCTCAGCCTCCCCTGGACCAAGCCGAGTGGTTTTACCGAAGAAGTTTTTGTCTCCTGTGCACCATGCGCCTCAATTCTTGTTCATTCTCACCAGGAAAAAAGCTTCAATGAAGTTTCTGTATTTCCATCACCCCGGAAATATCCGCCCATCATTTTTCCCTCGAAACAAGATTCTATCTCTCCTCAATTCCCAGGAAAACCGTCTCCATCGCTCGATGCACGGAGCAAAAAGTAATAATTGAAAGAGAATTTTCGCAAGGACGTTAATAATCCATCCACGTGATGAGGTTCCCCCATTGTCGGCAATTGTTGGAATTGTGAAAGGAATCCGAGAATTTATTAGGATCGCGTCAGGTCGACGAATTGCCAGTGCTACGTAGGACTGGTGCGAGATGAAGAGCCATGTCAATTGATGGTGACGGGGCGAGCACCGGGGGGCCTCTCTCTAGCCTATCTGTGCGCAATGAGCCTAGGTATATCATCAGCATGATGCATAAAAAAAGATGGGGAAGAGACAACGAGGACAGATAGCAAGAGTCAGAGTGGCGGATGAGTATCCGGGGTGGTGAAGGGGGGAAGAGGGGAATAGTGAGACGTCCATTTAATTCTGTGACGAGTCCCTGGCACCGGCAGTGTGTCAAGATCACTTCATCTTCAGTGGTGTGCTGGTCGCGCGCGCAAACTATTCAGACTGGTACTAACAATTCAATTTTTGAAAATTGGTGTTACACATGGAGACAGAAAGTTTCTAGTTCCCAGGGCAGAGTTACTGATTTTAAGGGGAGAAATTTCGCACTGAAATTTCGGAATCACTGGTGCCTTCATCTATGGTGCTGATGAGTTTACTGCTTCAGTTATGATGTAAAACAGGCAGGGGTTCGAGCCTATCCGACGAAAGGCATGTGACGGTTACTTTTTGTTCAACTAAATTTTTTTTTTCTCTTAATTCCGTTGGTAGTAAAGTTCCGAAGGGATTCGCAGCAATTGTGGTGCACGTTTGAAAAAATTTAATGGAAAAACTTTGCGAATTCGCTAGAAAATTCTAGGAAATTCTCGAGAAGTTCTGTTGGGATTCTATTAAAATTTTAAAGAATTCTAGTTAAAATTCTCGAAAAAGTGTATAGATTTCAATTTTTCCATATAAATATTCCCTTGGAATTTTTTTTTGTAAGAATACTTGGGCATGAATTTTCCAAGTTTCTTTCATTCGGATCCTGTAATGCACAAAAAAAATCTTGTGGATAAAACTTGGAAAATCTGTGCCCAATAATTTTAATAAAACATATCTCGAGAGAAAAGTCCACACAGAAAAATCGAAATCTATTAAGTTTTTCTATCAAATATGTAAGAGAATCTGCGCAAAAAAAAGACATGAAATTTTAACGAGAATTCCCTGGAATGTTAATGGAATCACTATAGAATTTTAGTAGAATTTTCTAGTGAATTCCCAAAGGTATTCTATTAAATTTTTTATGTGTTATATGGGTTGTGACAGGCGTACAACCGTTACCACATGCTACCGGGTGCCTACAGGAAGATATTCAACCTTTTAATGAAACAGATCCTATCCTATTTTTTCCTATTCTAAAAAGAACATACACTTAAAGTCGATAACTATCGATATCTCGCAAGTTTGTCACGCTTATTCCTCATTGGTTCCAGTCGTCTGAGGCGGCAAATTTAATTCATGATTAATTCAATTTTGAGATTTTCAATTATGATTGTTACAATTAGAGCGCGCGTTCGGTCTTATGTTAAAAAATCGGAAAGATGATAAGCCCAATCGATTTTGCCTCGTGAATTAATGAAGATCAACGTTGATACGTATTTCTTTGAAATAAGAGAAAATATGCTTTATTTTAAGTCGAATTTTACAAGATTTAAGTAAAAATTTCGGAGAATTAGAATGTTTTCCCCTAAAATTTACAGAACAAGATTTTTTTTAATAATTGAAAATTTAACCTTTTTCCAGAGATTTTTAATCGCTAAATTTTTACAAGCAAGTAGAAACATTTTCACTCTATGCAATTTAAAGAAGTATAAACATAACTTGAATTTTGAAGATTAAAATCTGAAATAAATTCTCAACGAAAGTTAATACGAATAAAAACATTCTGGTTGAGTTTGGGCTCAATCGCCAGTCTAGTATTATTGATAATAATAAATGTAGAAGTACAAAAATAACCTAGAGTCTTCTGAGAAAACGAAATTTTCGGGTTTAGGAAAAAGATTAAAATCTAGAAAAAATCTCGAAAAATCAGAAAAAATGAATAAAAATTTTCTGCCCAGTGTAAAAATAATCGTCAGTGTCAAATTTTCGTAATAAATTATTTATGTTTTTGTGTGTACAAAATGGCGTGTTATATCGAAACACCCTACTCAAACGAACGACTATTGTTTAAAAAAATAATTAAAGAAAAATAATGTAATGGATCAATTTCTTACACTCATAAAAGTTAGAATTTATGGGAAAAATTATCAATACTGAATCTTTTTTTAGGCTTTTTGAATTGATTTTTCCTCGCTACACTCAACGACTCAACTGGACTTTATTCATACTCCTTTAAACCGAAAAACCTCGGAATTCGAGGAAAATCTTGACGATTTTTGCAACAAATGATGAGGAAAATCGAAGAGAGGATGTTTTATCTGATTGTGATGCTGGTGATGCCCGGCACATTAGTGAGAAGTAACTCAGCCACTGATTTAACCTCTCCTGTTGACGATCAATACCCGTGGAGTGCGCTGGCTCAGCGTAAAGGACCAACGGTTCAGGACACTCTCGAGTTGAAATGGACGGCAACAGATCGAAGTGAAAAAAGACCAATCGATAAATTTCTACAGTCACCTTGGAAGAAGTCGCCGGAGTTGCAAGCTGAGCATTACTCGAAATCACCATCTGGTTTGTTACCAACATTCCTTTGCAATTGCTTTTTAATGGGAGATAAAAATACGGTAATTGGAAGCAACAGCGCTGGAGTGCATGTTGCTGTTTTGAGAATCGTTAATTCTAATTACACGGTAATTGGGGATGGAAATTGTTTGATTATGGAATCCAGGAAATTTCCGATTAGATAGAGGCGAAGCGGGGGGGGGGGGGGNGGGGGGGGGGGGTGATGGGGTATGTTTCGGGACTATTTGATTAATTCTGAAATATTGGGGGCGTGAAATTTTATGATGTTGAGAAATGAATTCCCTCATTTAAAAAAAGTAGTTTTTCATTCGAGAAGACTTTTTTTTAATAAAGGAAAGGTTATAATGTCCAGCAAAAAGTTAGTAATTTAGGGCAAAAATTTTTCCGCTTCTGAAAAAATCTTTTTGTCGCTTGTGCGTGAAATGAAAATAGAATATAAAAAAAAAATTTTACGCACTCGTATCGAAATATACGACCAACCTCACGATCTGTTGGTCTACTCGTGATTCGCACTCGTGATTTTTTAATCTGAAAAACTTGACTACTTCGTTTGTTGTTTGCAACGAACCTATCGGGAATTGCTCGATAATTTTGAAGCTCTCGTGCTATTACTTGTGGTTATTTCTCCCTAGCTTTTGATAATTTCCCTGTAGCTTTTGATAATTTCCCTCTAGCTCTGCAATTGTTTCTCTAACGAAATAAGTATCAAATATTATCCTGTGGAGTGAAAGAAAGTCATGAAGAAAGTCAGATCCGATGACCAAAAATAATCCGTCGAATACCACTCGACCTCCAAAATTAATCGAACATTTCCCTCATGTTTTCCGGTGTATCAACGATCGGGATAAGTTTTGCTACGCAACAAAACAATCGGGAAATATTCGATAATTCTCGAGGTCTCGTGGTATTACTACTGATTTTACTACTGATTTTCCAATCCAAATATTGAGCAATATAATTGGCCCATTCAACATCACGTGGTACAAGCTACAGGGTTTTCAACTGATCATTTTTTGATAATTCTCTCTGGTAGTTGCTATATAAAAAACAAAACATCGTGCAGTCGAATTAACCCCTCGTCAAACTGACAGATTGAATTCAATTGTGGTAATCCGAGGATTTTTATTCGAAATGAGTGTTAATTGTACAATTTTCGTTTCTCAATTGTGAGTTTCGTCTCATGGTCCAATTATATTGCCCGACATTTGGATTGGAAAAATAATCCCCCGAATACCACANCTCGTGATTTTTTAACTTCAATAGTTGTTGAAAATTTAAATTTAAAAAAAACAATAGGCGACTTGTTCACTTTTCATTTATAACATACATACTGTAGAAAATAATGACTTCTGATTGCGGATAAGTTATCATTTTGTTTATTCTCAATCAATCAACATTCTTATTCGACAAAAAAATGAAAAATGTTGTTAGCTTGGTCAGAAACATCGATGTTTGGAAAAAACAATCGAAAATCGATTAATCGGCCGTTGAAAACATCGAATGAGAAATATCGATGTTTGGGCATGAAAAGTCGCTGTTTTCGATTAATTGACAAATATCGCTCATGTGTACCCAGTGTACAAAAGAACAACTTCCAATTTCATGGAATTCCTTTCACTCTTTCCTGTTTCCTCTCATTTAGAATAGCATTTGTGGGACTTAACAATCGACATTCGAGCTTATTAAGTTTGTGAGCCATCGTAAATAGTCTTGTAATGAAGAAAATTCTCCTCTAATTGGGACCAACAAAGGGGCTTTGTCCCTTACGTTATAAGGCTTGAAGGGAGATTATATCAAATTATATCAAATGGCTCGAAATGATTGCACTTGGTTCCAATCAGTGTGGAATATGATCATTGGGACCTCTCATGGGAAATCATGAGATTCTGAGCGACTTCCAACGGAGTATTTGATATTCCAATGCTTGTGCACACTTTATAAGGGTCAAACATCAATTCTAAAATTCTGATGGTTTCGTGTAGAGGGAAAAATATCATGTTTTCACATAATTTCATGTTTTCACTAATTAACTTTCAGGGAGAAAGTCTCTTACTCAGGGTTTGAGTATTACTGCAAATAAGTAATAGCTCTCCTGAAAACTGAAACCCATTTATTAGTCTGTATGGACTTCATGTTTTTTACCATCATATCACATGCGAAAAAAATTATAGAACAATTTAGAAGGAACTTTTATCAAAAATTCTACTAGTTTTTCGTCGCGTTCTTTTCAATTGAATTTGATTGTTATACATAATTTATTCGACTGAAATATTTTCTACAGAAATTGATCCGTTCAAATTTTCGAAGTTTTTTTGTTCGATTTTTTCAATGGCGTGGAAAAAATGAGAAAATTTATGTCGAAGAATTCCTATAGAAAATGTGTTAATAGAACAATCAAAATCTACTGATTTTTTCTATAAAGTAGTTTCTATTGGACATTTTCTATAAAAAAAAATACGTAGTAAACGGGAAACCCAATTTTCAGTAGAAATTCAAGAGAATTTTCCAACGAATCCTTCAAGTTCTTCGATGAAATTTTTTCGGGCGTAATGATGCCTCAGAATGTTTTCTCAACTCTCGTGCAATTCTCCTGAGACTCAAATAAAATCGTCATCGCATACCATCAGTCATCGTAATTACATATTACACCTCCCCGAATAGATAGTCTTCGCAACTCCGTCATTAAATCATGAATAAACCATCTCATCATAAAATGCTACAGACATCGGCATAATCATGAATTTGAAATAAAATCAATTTTTGAATCAGTTAATTAGTTAATATTCTTCAAAAATTTTTGCTAAAAAATAAACGTCCATCGCAAACGTCTGGGCAGTTTACCTTATTTGTTTAATCGAAAATCCCTTTTATGAAATTTAGAATTATTTGGTTAATAGTAAATTTTATTTTATCAGTTTTCAAATTTCAATGAAGATTAGTAAACTTCAATTATTTTAAGATCCGACTTCTGATAATATTAATAATCTAATGATTCATTCCACAACATTCATCTCCAAAAATGGTTCTTTTGAATCAAATAAAATCCTTTATTTTTAATTTTTTACTTTTTTCTCAAAAAGCATCTATAAGTATATTAAACAAACACTTTATTTAGATCAAATGAAGATTTATTTATAGAAAAAGACATTTATTCAATATAAACAAAATTTCCAATAGAAATTTTAATTTAATTTGAAAAAACTTTATTTTGTACTATTCAAATAAACTTATTTATTTGATCCAAATAAATAATTTTTCTGGGTGTTCATCGGCCGTTACACTGTCAGAGATTTTTTGAAATTTTATGGAAGATATTACAATAAATCTCATGAGAGTGACATTGAATCGGATTTAGGGAAAAAATGGTTATGAAATTGCAAGTTTTAAGTAAAATTCACGGAGATTCATGAGTTTTCAGTGGGAGTGAGATGGAAATTTCACAACTTGATTGAATTTTCAGTAGAACAGAATGTTCAGGAATAAAATGACATGGATTCAAAAACTTTCCCTGAATTTTCCTGATATTTCTGAATTTTCACAGAATAATTGAACTAAAAAATCAAGTATTTTATTGATTTCCAGATCATTGGAGGGGAAAATCAATGAAATATTTTATTTTTCAATGACAAGATTTCCTGAATTTTCAGTGGAACTTCACGGAGAGAAAAATTCAATAAAAATTACCAGAAAAAAACGTAAGAATTACGTTTCGAAACATAATCCGCGAGCGAAGCAAAATTCAATAAAAAGTGTGTCGGAACTGAAATTGTACGAATTGCCACGTAAATTCTACGATTAGTTCCGTAAATTTTTCCCCAAAGATTGAGAAATTTTACGGAACGGAACGTAGAAATAACTCCCCAGCTTCATAAAAATTGTTGTACGTTCAAAAATTTTCGATTCTGGAGGCAGAATAAGTCGCAAAGTTTCTGTAAGATTTTACTTCTTCGTGATGAACCTGAAAAGTCACTGCACGTTTCTGATTTCTTCTCTTCCATTCCCATAAAAATGGCCGTTAAACGATTCCCCATTGCACATTACGTGAATTGTTCCGTAATTTTTACCGAATATTTCTCTCCGTCTTGAACACAAAAGACAGCACATCCGAATCATTTACGAACTGCCAACAAACCACTAATAAACCGTCATTTTTCCTCCGACAGGTCAGCGAATCGAAGACCAAGGTCCCGGTTCAATCGAGATCTATCGATTAACCAATCTCGACGACACCGACTTGAGCTCACTCCCCCTGCCCCCCTGGAACAATCCACTGCTCCATAAAAAACTAATGAAAAATAAATCCCCAAAGGTGATTCACCAAGAATATAAGAAGCCCCATAAACCAGGAATAAAAAAAAAGCTCTCACCCCAACGCGAGACACAAACGACTCATAAGGAGCGGAAAGACAACGATTCAGTGGGTGTGCCGGAACTTCAAATTGGGTGTGAGGGCCTTGAGGCGCCGATAGAGCCATCCAGCCGTGAGCCAAGATCAATTTCAGTGAAAAACGAGTCGAGCCAAGAGTACGCTCCCGGTGAATCCTTAGTGCCACCTGTTCTCCCAGTTCATCCAGTGACTATAGACTGGGATTACAATGAGGATGATCAGCCGCGTCACTACGAGGACATGGATGAACTACTGAAGTTGAAGAATCTCGAGATGATTTTAAATAAGAAAATTAAACACCGCGGTGACATGAGACCTGAGCAAGACTCAGACGTTGAATTTGATTCGAAAAAAGTGCCACTCCGTGGTGACCTGGTTGGTGGTCGTAAGGTAAGGTCAATATTGGACAAGCCAGTGAGTTCTAAAGCCTCTTGGAGTAACAGCGAGGGTCCCTGGGGTTTTGGTGAAAACGATGGTTATATTTCCGAGGATGAAGATGAATCTGACAGTGGGCGAGTGCAAACAGAGGCTGACAGAAGACGACAGGAGTATCAAAGAGCTCAGCGCGAGGAGATGGAGAGAAGAAGAAGAGAGCAATTGGAGAGGCGAAGGAATCAAGAAAATTGGAGAAACGATAACCAGATAAATTCGGAGATTGAGAGGATTCAGAAGGAGTACGAGATGAGGTTATCGGCGGAGCAGAGGGATCAGGAGAGAAAATTAAAGGAGTACATTGAGAGAAATCGTCCAATTATTGTTGATAATCGGGAGGACAGGGAGCGGAGGCTTCTCGAGGAATTTAGGAGAAGATCGGAGGCGAATGGGTACAACGATCCGCGTGGAAGACCACAGGATCGCTCGAGGGGGCCATCGCCACCGGTTACGTATCCGAGTTCATCGCGAGTTGATGATATGGCGAGGAGGCGGGAGGATGAGGCACGCAGACGACAGGAGGAGTTTAGGAGGGCCGAGGAGAGGAGACGGTTGTTGGAGGAGCGACAACAAGAATACAACCGAACTAGTGGTAATCCACGTGAGGTGGAGGAGCAGAGGAGGAGAACTGAGGAGAGACGGAGGGCCGACGAACGCAGACGGGAATTAGAGAGGAGAAAAGAGGTACAGGACCGGAGCAATAATAATCCATACAGAAGAGTCGAGGAGGAGAGGCAGAGGGAAGAGGAGAGGAGGCGCGAGGAGGAGTATCGGAGGAGCCAGTCACGTCTGCGGGAGGAGGAGAGACGTCATCGTATTATGGAACAGAAGCAGAAGACTCCGGGTGTGATGAGCCTGGACGAGGCGGAACGAAAGAGGTGGGACGAGGCGAGACTAAATTCACTTCCTGTCAGGGCGAGAATCATACTTGTACCGAAATCCTCAGGCAGGTCGTCCACCTCGTCGCCACTCTTCCCTTCCCGAGGGAGTTTCGATGATGATGAGGTTGAATTAGCGGTGAGTGTGATACAGAAGCGAGGCGGTGAAACGGTTCAGTAGATTTCGACTGTTGGTCAGTTTTCAAGGAATATCTCGGAATCTAAGAAATATAACGCAATTTTTGTTATAGCCTTTTTTATAGATCTCAATTCCCTCTACAAAAAAGGTTATTACGAAAATTTCGGTATCTGTCTTAAATTCGGAGATATTCCTCAACAACTCGGCCAAGGCTAAAAATATTACAAATATTATGAATAGGCGAAACATTACTGGTCAGCAATCGATTTCGTCAAGCTTATGCTGTATTTGGGTATATTTCAAGTTCATCTTAATATGGAAATTTTCTTGCTTAAGATCTTTTTTCAACTTAATTCTTGAAAATTTTTTTTTTTAATTATTAAAAAATTGTTTATTTATAATATTTTTTTCATTTAAATGAATAAATAAAAAGAAGAATGTAATAACAATAATAATAATAATGAATGATACTTCTTTAAAAAAAAAAATCGTGAACCAGAAATTCTTATTCATGTGTTTGTATAAGAAGATTCAATTTTGTTTTCAAATCTAAATGCAATAAGAGCGACTGTCAGCTCCCTTTTTTAATAAATAAATGAATACATAACGATCATAAATAATCTGCATGAACTATTAGCCAATTTGGGCGCGCGAAGCGCAATCTCTTTCCTAATTTTCAAAATTTTTCAGAAATAAGGGTATTTCCTGAGATTTTTTATTTTTGGTAATTTTTTTTAATGATTACATACTGATCATTTGAAACCTCTCAGATTACCTTGAATGCCGTCACACCTTTGGTCCGTCAGCGCTAGCTCTCACGGAATGTGCGTCTTGAGAAATTTAATGTCGTTTTCGTCTCGATTAGAGAATTATTTGAAACAATGTTGTAAATGAATGGAAAGAAAAATGAATGATCGCCACGGACGATTAACCTCACTTCATTCTTGAAATTGAAGCGGAAGTAGCTTCTCGTAACGAGTTAACTACGAATCCCCCATATGAATCCCGTATGAACCCCTCATTTGAATCCTTATTCTGACCCTTGCGACCCTTAGTTTCTGACCCTTGGGTTTTGACCCTTTATGTCTGATCCTTAATTTTGGAGTCTTAATTGCGAGTACCAAATTTTCATCACCAGTCGTCGATTTCGATTTTAATAATATAGAGAGTCCCATATGACCCCCATGACCCTTATTTAAACGCTTAGTCTGACCCGTGTGACCCTTAATCTGACCCTCGTCATGATTATTCTGACCCTTATTTTAACCATTGTGACCCGTAGTTTCTGATCCTTAACTCTGGAGTCTTAATTTCGAGTACCAAATTATCACCACCAGAAGTCGATTTGGATTTTTATAATATATTGTTGAATAAATGAGATGATAGAATTGTAAGATTTCCACGTATTTAGATTTTTGAAGCCTGACCAATTAATTTCAATAATTTCTTCATAAAAAAAAATTATAGAAAATATCCCTGTCTCAGAATGAAAAGTAGATACAGAAATTTATGATCAGACCGTTCTTCTTTCAATAATATCTTCGCGCACAAAAATGTACGAAATATTTCCGTATCCCGGAGAGAGAGAAGGAGATAAGGAAATTCATGGTCAGACTTTCCTCGTAGCTCTCATTCCCCTCTACCAAGAGGTTTCCATAAACTTTTTTTTATCTCGATGACAAAATCAATGAAAAATTAATGATGAATTAAAAAATGAAAATGGTTCAATTTTTTTATAAAAAAATGAGCTGTGTAGGACCTGAATTGCAAAAAACTAATTCGTAATTATTATTGCACACATTTTTGTGAAAATTTTGAAAAAAAACCTTTCCAGCTCAAAAATTGGAGGCCCTGGACTATTTTTAACATTTTAGGCGTCTGCGGGGCAAACGAATAATAAACAATTTTTTGCGCTAATTATTCAGTTTTAGACCTACATAATCGATCTTCAATATATGAAAAATCTCATTCCAATAGCCCGCGACTTTTTAAACTCACACTGTTGGACAATAGGGAACTTGTATGTTTTTTTTAAATTTTGTCTTCCTCAAATATATGCCCGCAAGAACTCATATTTGACGAGGAAACACACAGAAAATAGTTTAATAGTTTCACCGGAGACCGAAATTTTCGTGTGGCATCGTGTGAAATCTAGGAAAATACTCTGTACATACATTTGGCTCAAAAATGTTAGAAAAACCGGATCAAGTGATGGAAGTTCCTTATAAATATTGTTTTGTATCAGGATGTAAAAATACAACAGTGAAAATTATACAACCACGACTTTCGACACTTTGACCCAGAATTAAACCCATAAAATCAATCAACATTGTCACGTCTACCGTTGGTAAATCGGGACAGGACTTTTTGGCGCCACACACCCAAATGATGTTGAAAGACACCCAGATTTAGTATTTTCTCGGGGCGCCAAAAAGTCACGTACTGTTGGTAAATTCCCCGAGCAGGCCTTTTAAAAATCATTTTTCAGCACAAACTTCATTTGTTAGTGCCAATATATTTTTTTTACCCACTTTTAATAATTGTTTCAAACATAATCCTCTCGATTTGTTTTGGTTAAACGCCTCGCACTTTGAGACGCTAGAATAACTCAATAGCGCTGCTAGTAGTCGCAAGGAGAACTTGATTCCGGTGAGTTGATGTCATGACCCCAAAAAAGTATTCAAAATTGATGCATTTTTAATGAGTTATTACAAAATATCCAGACCACCTTTCGAAAAACTTTTTACTCTGGAATGGTTCATAGACTACAAAGATCCTATTCATTTACAAATATTCGAAAAGTGGACTCTATGCGGCCCTACGGGGCTAGCGCACTGCGGTGGTGGGCACGCTTAGCTTTGGGAAGCTAAGCAGCGCTGAGCGTGGTCACTAGATGGATGGGTGACCGCGCGGGAACACCTCAGGGAAGAAACATTGTTTGGAAAAACTGGAAAGAGCATTTTGGGAAAAACAAATATGCGGAAATAAAAAAATGGGATGAAGAAGTAAGAAAAACCGTAAAAACCGAGAGGTATACGGTGAAATGGAATGAAAAAAAAAAAGTGGACTCTGTGCAAGTTCCCTATTACTCTTGAAATTTCAAGTGAAAAATCTTGAAATTTTTAACAACGAATAATTTACATGCAATTTCTATTGACCTTGTTATTGATAAACCAGTCAATGTTCTTGAATATTCAATGAAATTTAATTTCTCAAGTTCATACGACCATAAAAATTACTGAAAGTCATGAAAATTGAGGCAACTTTTCTTCTGAATTTTCAATCTGTTGCTTAATTTTCGCGATAGGTTTGAAAATCCAAATTGCCATTGAAAATTCAATGATGATTCATAATGAAAAATTTAATTTTATTGAATTTCCAAGATGAATCAGGAATTCCACGAACAATTTAGCCTGAAATTGAATTCAAGTTCAGAATATTGAAAGATCAAACGCATCTGTTACTTAACTTTCAAAAAATTTCTGTCTCCCCTTAGTTATTAAGAATTTTTTCCGGAAATCCATAGGGACTAACCTTTGGGTCTGATGGTCTTGTGACATACCTTAAGTTTATTCATCTATTATTCAAGTCCTGCAATCGACCTCCACGGAGAGAAATGTTCAGTAAAAATTACGGAACTCACAATTCACTCATCGATTACGGTTACGGAATCGACTCAGAAAATTGAAGTGACGGTATCGTAATTTTTCCCAGGAGATTTAGATAAAAATTACGGAACTCACAATTCACTCATCGATTACGGTTACGGAATCGACTCAGAAAATTGAAGTGACGGTATCGTAATTTTTCCCAGGAGATTTAGATAAAAATTACGGAACGCTCCGGAAAAATTCCGTGGCAGTTCCGTAAAATTTCCTACAACCACATTTCGCTCCGGATTTACGGAAAAGATACGTAATTTTTATTGAATATTTCTGTCCGTGTCGGCTGTTTGACGGGCACATCAACAAATAAGACAAAAATAAATAAACTAAGTGGATAAATCTCGTTTCATCTATTCACTACTTTATCCTATTGCTGCATTGGGACTTGACATATCCAACTTTACATATGCTTTCAATTTGTTCCAGGGGATAAATCCAAACCGCCCTGGTTTGAATGCCGGCAGATTTCCAGCGGCACAGACACCAAGACCACCGAGGACTTCACCAAGTCCATGTGTCTGGGCTGTGGTGCAGTGCTGTCCCAACGGTGATCAACGAAGATTGCATAGTTGTTTTGAGTATTTAGGATGCCCTGGGGTTAATTGGGATCCCAACCCGTGTGCAAGTGCTCTCTCTGACGCCGCAAGGGCTCAAGTTGCTCAGTTCTACGCGAGTGCTGATCAACCGTGGTGATCAACAGCTTGAGGAAATCCATTTCTCTTCCCTCTTCCCCTGTCCCCATCTGATATTGTCCTTTTTATGTATGTCTTTTTATCGCTTAGTATATAGGTATGCAAAAAATTGACGAATAAATGATGAATAACATAATGAGGATGGGGTGTTTTAATCTGGCGTTAATTCTGTCCCATTCCATTTCGGAATATGTAGTTACAGTTTTATGTGTTATGTAGAACAATGTTTCGCTCCTCGATTCCCTGACTTTTCCAGTAATTTTTCCTCAACTTTTCTCTCCCTAGATATTTTAAGGGACTCGAGAGAACATATGTAACTCGATGAACACTTAAATGTGGTTCAAATTCCCACTAATCCCATTAACCCATCATAATCCTCATTTCGCGGTTGGAAATGAATTTTTTTGTATAAAATAGTTTCTATTAAATATTTTCTATTAAAAAACTTTCAGTGGAGCTGCGAAATTCTTCAATAGAATCAATCAAAAACTAGTGGAATTTCCAATCAAAGTTCAGTATAAATTCAATAAACTTTTCTATGATTTATTTTTCGTGTGTGACGTAGAACAATGTTTTGCTCCACGATTCCTTAACTTTTCCTGTAATTTTCCCTCAACTTTTCTTTCCCTGGACATTTTAAGGGATTCGAGAGGACATGCGTAACCCGATGAACACTTAAATGTAGTCCAAACCGCCACTACTCCAATTAACCTATCATGATCGTCATTTTGCGTATGAAAGTAAAATAATTTTTTCTATTAAATATTTCCCATTTGAAAACGTGCCAGAGAGCTACGGAATGCGTCACGAGAATTGCCCGAAAGTAATAGAATTTTCAATAGAAGTTCAATATAAATTCAATAGACTTTTCTGTGATTTTTTTCATGTGTGATGTAGAACAATGTTTCGCTCCTCGATTTCTTGACTTTTCCAGTAATTTTTCCTCAACTATTCTCTCCCTAGATATTTTAAGGCATATCCCCTGAAAACAGGTGATTCTTACGATTTTCCCCATGTTGTTTATAGATAATGTTTATAATGTTCCCCAGTTATTGAAAAAAAATGCTAACTAGCTGTACTACATACTTTAGGAAATAATAAATAATGAAATGCGGACGATGAATTTTTTGTAAAATTTTCTAGTACACGGTTTTTGCGACATTCACCTCTAAAAAATGGAAATTTCTGCGAAATCATATCTTATTTGATTCAAACAATGAATTGTTGCCTTCATCAACAACATATGAGGACAGAAAAACTCAAAGACTTATGAGAATGCAATAAATTAAGTAATTTCGTTTTTTTTCCGGGTATCCATAGGGTGTTATTATTTCGGGCTATACCTTAACCCTAGTCTGGTCACCCTACGCGACCCAACGACTTTAGTCACGTCCGCGGGGAAGTGCCGCCGTGTTATTTAGGCCCGAACGTTGCCAAATTCACTCTACACTGCCCGGGCGCGTTTCGCGAGTTTCCGGCAACGTCGCGTAACAGGCACTTTCATTCAACATGGGAAAAAATAATTCCTCTGTGAGAAAAAAATTGTTTCCTTCAGGAATTTCGAGAATTATGTTGTTCTGAAACTACTCTAATTTTTTAGATATTTTAATTGGAAAAGTCAAATTTTTATGAATTTTTCCGATCAGTCATTCAATGGCAATTCAAGAAAAACGACGGGCTGCGGCGTTTCCCTCATATGGTGAGCAATCTATGGTTAAGGATGTACTACCCTTTCGGTCAAAATTCTGTTTTTTTTTCATTTTCCTGGCAAATTATTGATCGGATTGAGGCGAAATAATCCGTTTTTGCGTTTAATCATTATTGATTGACTCACGAAGTTTCATGGCAGTGCAATCATTTTCCTGCTTTTTTTCCAAAGTTTTGTGAATTTCCGAAAAGTTTTAGAAAAAACGCAGGAAAATGATTGCACGATCATGAAATTTCGTGAGTCATTAAGTAATGATAAAGCGCAAAAACGGTATATTTTTTCACGTCAATCCGATCAACAATTTACCAGAAAAATTCAAAAAACGTGAAGTTTTGCGAAAACGGTGCAATAGATCCTTAAGGGATTCGAAAAGACAACCGTAGCCCCACGAACCCTCGAATGTATTCCAAATCCCCACTGGTCCCATTAACCCATCATAATCGTCACTTCGCGGATGAAAATAAAATGGCAAACATGGAGATGCTTACCGTCGGTGCGCTGTGCGATACCACGCTTATCGCCTTTTCCCATTATTGCCCCCTTCTATCCCCCTTTTTTTGCTTTTCGTCTACCGTCTTATCGAGCGCTCCGTCTCTCAGTTCTTCCGCTCCTGCTGCCTGAAATATTGAGAATCGATCAGTGAAAATACGATCGACAAAACATAGGTTCACGATATGAGAAACCAGTGTGTGGTTACGACAACAATAATCGTGATAAGGGCCATTGATAACCAGTAAATTGAAATCCAGGGCGTTTTTCTTCTATCCGGAGTATAGATTGGATTGTTGAGCGGATCAATCGTTATCGCTTCCAACTGTATTTTTTAACATCAAAGAAATATTTTCCTCGATTTATATTGTAAAGAGGGTACGTGTCCCAGCACTGATTCCGCCAATTTCCCCCGAATATCCTGAGCGCGAACCAAGCTCGAGTATTTTCAAGTGTATCACTGAAAAGCTGGAGAAATTCTCCCTCGAGATGATATAAGTAAACCCATTCTCCTCAACAAAATTCTCGAATCCTGATAAATTCTTTATTCCACTTTGAAAACTATCTCTTCAATTTTCCCCCAGAATCCAATACAATCAAAAGTTGTTCCGTCCGCAGAACCTCAACAGTATTTTTCAAAATATGAAGCTGAAGACTTTCACGATTATGAAATTCAGTAGCGAAGTGGTAAAACGGTGAGTAATTCAAGTGAATTTAGACTATTGGCCAGTTTTCAATGAATATCTCGGAATCTGAGGGAGATAGCACAATTTTTGTTATAACCTTTCTTGTAGAGCCGATTGAGAGCTACAATAAATGTAGTAACGAAAATTTCGCTATCTCCCTTAGATTCGGAAGTATTCCTCAAAAACTCAACTGGGAGATGAGTCGACTTGAACCGTTTCACCACTTCGCTACTGAATTTCTCGTCTCATTCACCTCGAAATTGAAATTAAATTGAAATGGAATCGTAGGTTTTACGGTGACGAAAGAAATGAAAGAGTCGGTGGATCATCACTCACCTAGGTTCTCGTGGCATTCCATTGATCACTTTAATCTTGGCATGATTATTGAAGAAATGGGAGATCGACGAGTGGCGCGCAATTGGCTCAGTTGAAAGGTGAGCGATAAGAGACGCTTCGGGGGAAGAAGTTGAGATACTTTTAGGGGGAAAAAATGTCCAACTGGGGATTAATCTTGTGACTAAGGGGAAAGAATCACGGGAATTGTTCAACGATGACTGGAGATTCTGAGACACGCGCGCGCTGAACTATTTTTTTTCTCCAGAGGACATTCAAACGTCTCGCTTTGTACGTTAGTTATCGTGATAGGAGAGAAAAGTATAGTTAGATGGTGAATAGAAGAGAATTAACGCAGAATTTTGGAGGGCAGTTGTCCCTCGTGTCAAGTGCACGTTTTGGGGGTGATAATTTTCATTTTTTTTATCAGAGTTTCATGCAGAGATGATTTGAAATTGTAACGGCACGTGTTTTATTTTAATTTTTTTATATATATATTTTTTTATTCTTGGGAAGGTTTAAGGTGAGACTACCCCGACTGTGAACTTGAGTCGACTGGCTTTGCTCCCTCGCGAGCCAGTACCCGAAGATAATAATCCCCCCTTGTATCCGACGACTAGACGCACCCCGGGCCGACTACCTCCGGGGATCCGTTCATGCGCTCTCTTCCAAACCTGCCTCCCTCTACGTCACGAGTTATCTCTCAACCCCCTCAACCCTGTTCAACGTTTGTGTACCAACGATACCAACTTGGGAGGGATTCTGGTGCTCGCGGAGGTGAGGCGGATTTTGTGGTGGTCACGACATCTAGTGGTGAAGAGGGGAATGGTCTGGGTGTTGGGAGTGTTGATAAGGGGATTCCCGCGTCGAAGTTTAAGGATATCCAAGTACTTCGTTCAAATTGGCAACTTTTTTTCAAGCAAGATTTCAGTTTTCTCGAAAATCTTGCCGTCCCCATACTTTTTCGGATTTTTCATTGTCGAATACATTTTTTCAGGAATTTCTTCAATGAATATTGTGAACAATATTTTTCATCACGCTGTGACGAAAAGTGAACTTTTCGGCACGCTCCGCGTGCCTAAAAGTCCAATTTCCGCCACATTGTGATGAAAAATATTGTTCGTAACTCGTGAAAAAATGTTTATGTTCGTAACTCGTGAAAAGAGTTTTTTGCACTCGTTACGAAATATCCTATTTCATCAGTGTGCGAAAAAGTAACTTTTTAGGCACGCTTCGCGTGCCTAAAACGTCCCTTTTCCACACATTGTGATGAAAAATATCGTTCGTTGCTCGTGGGAAAAGTGTTTTTTGGGTCGTGGGATTATATCACTCGCCTTCGGCTCGTGCTATAAACCTCCCACGAGCCAAAAAACACTTTTCCGCACTCGTAACGAAATATACTATTATTCAATTTTTCACCACGCTGTTACGAAAAGTCCAATTTCCGCCACATCGTGATGAAAAATATTGTTCGTAACTCGTGAAAAAATGTTTATGTTCGTAACTCGTGAAAAGAGTTTTTTGCACTCGTTACGAAATATCCTATTTCATCAGTGTGCGAAAAAGTAACTTTTTAGGCACGCTTCGCGTGCCTAAAACGTCCCTTTTCCACACATTGTGATGAAAAATATCGTTCGTTGCTCGTGGGAAAAGTGTTTTTTGGGTCGTGGGATTATATCACTCGCCTTCGGCTCGTGCTATAAATCTCCCACGAGCCAAAAAACACTTTTCCGCACTCGTAACGAAATATACTATTATTTAATTTTTCACCACGCTGTTACGAAAAGTCCAATTTCCGCCACATTGTGATGAAAAATATTGTTCGTAACTCGTAAAAAAATGTTTTTTAGCTCGTTACGAAATATACTATCACACTTGACTCTCGTTGGTCTAACTTCTAATGATCATACGGCAACACTGCACATGTGTTCCATATAACCTCGTAAATTCGGTCCGAGGTTTACGTGTCCATATGCTTCCAGCACTGAATTATCGTTACCGACTTTACCGACCTCGATCAGCTCTTGTGCGGTGTTGTCGCGTTGCTCGACTCGTACTGGCGGTCAAATTTTTTTTTTGTCATTCCGGCCGTGAGGCAGTGCTTCACGGACGCTCCGCATCCGTGAATCTCTGCCTACGGCCGTCATAACAAAAAATACTGTTCGTCATATGGCCAAAAAAAAACTTTTCTAGCTCATATGATTGAACTCATATTCGCCAGAAAAGTTTCTTTCGGCCTAGTGACGAAATATACTATTCTGCCCTCCGGCCGGAAAGCGTCAACTTCCTGGCCGCTGCGCTAAACGAAGTTGCCACTTTCCGGCTACGTCAAGCAGAAAAATAGTATACACACCTTGGCCAGTAAATAAGAAAACCTCAGATCACATGTTTGTTGACCTCGGCTTCGCCTCGGCCGACAATTACATGTGATCTGAGACATTCCTTACTTTACTGGCCAAGGTGTATAATCTACTATTTAGAGGAATTGGAAAATCAATCGAATATATCACGCCTGTATAGCCCGATCCTCTACTTGTTCTCGCCGGCGATGGATTCTCCATAGTCTAAAGTAAATGACTTGTGGTTTTTTTTCAATATCTTGAGTGTCTAACTTATGACCGTTCACACGGTCACGCTTCTTCCCTGAGCGTAATGTTACAAGAAGTGATTTTCAAAAATTAATTTCTCATCACTAGGATGCCCGGTGGAAAGCTTAAGATTATTACTAACGTGTGGCTCCAATATGAACCTCGCATATGAGACAGTATCAAAATTATGGTAAATAATGTGGATTTTGGGTAAACATCCTTAAGGGGTCTCCTCAGTTATTTTCGGCACAAATCGAAAATGTGAGAACTGAATATGTGATATAATAAAGGTATTACCCGCTGGGCGGTACAGGCACCGCTTCATCTGATGGATGGTGAGGGGGTTTTGACCGGCTGTGGTGTGCTCGGACGGTTGAGGAAAGACAACACTATCGGCTGAAGGAATTAGAGGGTACGCGGCTGCTTTCAATGTTCCGATGGTTACCGGGCGAATTTATGAAGTCTGCGCAAAGGGTTCTTCGTACGGGCATGATCAGTGCTGCTTAAGCCATCTACGCAGAGAAAAAAAGTTTTTACTATCAGGAATATGTCGCTGCTTTTCAGGAATCTATTCCTAATGACTAGATATTCGTTATTGTGGAATTCAACTAGTTTCCAGGGAGATTGTAGGTAATTTTCAGAAAAATGTCACTGATCTGCAAAGATATATTTCCAATTTTTTGAAAACTATCACCGAATTTTAGACATAAAGAAATTCTTCAGAAAATTTTTAGTGCTTGCACTCGATTTTATTGGGTAGTACGTGAATTTTTTTCGTATTGATATGATATTTCCACAGAAATCCCCAGAAATTTTTTTTTTTTCGGAATTTTTTTATCCATTGAGAAAAGTTTTTTTCAGAAATACGTCTACTTGTATCAACAAACTAATGACTTGAAATTTTCCAAGAGCAAAATATCTCACGCTAAGATAAAAAAACCTTACGTCAGGGAATTTTTTACTGGTCCGAAAGATGAGGGCAATTGTTTCATAACAAGAAAACGAGTTCTCAAATAAATTTGAGTAGTTTCTGGAATAAAATATTTTTTGAAGCTAAAAAACTCATATAGTATTGCGAAATTCGGATGATTTTTTCCATCTCCACTGGTCAAACAATGATAGAGGGTGAACCATTTTTAGGGTCAAAGGATCTTGAGGGTCGAATGTGAGAGACAAGTGGTGAAACTTTTATCAAGAACTGTTCAGCAAAAATTACGGAACTCACAGTTCGTTCACCGATTACGGAATCGATTCAGAAAATTTAAGGGTGCCAAGTGAATTTGGCGATGACCTTAAAAATTGACATTCACCAACAAAGTTATAATTTTTTAAATTAATAGTATTAGACAGATGGTGAACATCGGTGACAATTTTAAAATTTTAGAACTTATGGATATCGAGACATTAAATAAACAAAATCAGTCTTATACACGGCCTCTTATGGAGTTTTGATTAAATTGAACGTTTCAACCCCCTAGGAACTCAAGAAAAATTTGAAAAAATTTGAAGATATGGGGAATGATGTGTTCAATGTGATGGCGACAAAAAACAATGGGGTACCGGGGTGAATAAGAGAGATATTTCAACCCGCCGTACCCATTTGATCCCATACTTTCTCGCGGTTCGTCACGCGAAATAGAGGATTTCCCGCATTTATTTTCTCGATGTCTAGTTCCGGTTGCGGGTTTGAAATTTCGTTGGATGGATGAATACATATTTCTCCAATGATGGAGGGAAAGAAAAAAATTTTTTTTGAATCTTTTTTCAAATTCACTTGGCACCCTTAAGTGACGGTATCGTAATTTTTCACAGGAGATTCAGGTAAAAATTACGGAACGCTCTGGAAAAATTCCGTGCCAGTTCCGTAAAATTTCGATAAAAGTTCCGTACTTTTTATTGCATATTTCTCTGCGTTTGAGTTTTTATCGCACCGAGACGTTGCCTCTCTATGCATATTGATAACCGACTTCGCTCTATGAGAGATAACGATCCTCAGGAGGACTCTTTCTAATTATCCGACATTTTCCTATTGCGCGAGGTCACAGCTTTGCGTTTTTCCCATAAAAAGAAGTGCATGAATGAAGGGGACTCGTCTGATTTATCCGCGGAGTTCGCAGAAAGTTGGAAATGAGAATGATCCAGGGGAAATGGAAGGATTTTTTTCAACTCTTTTTCCCTAAGTTTTTTTCCTCAGCATGAAAAAACTATCGAAATCAAGAATTTAATTAAAAAATTTCTTTTCCAAACGCTCTGCGGCATTTCGTAGTCGCAAATACGAATATTCTTACATTGAGGGGTTTGAAAACGTGCGAGTGATTGTATATTATAATACATTAGCAATTTGCTACCGAATGACCACAATCTTTTGCCGAATATTTTACTCCTCGATTGCATAATTTTTAACAAGCCCTGCGCAAAAAACAGAATTTTCCAATAGAATTCTAGAATTCCAATAAATTCAAAGAAAATAGAATTGAGGGAAAGCGCTCGGTTTTTTAATTGAATTTTTTCATACCTGAACATTCTTAAATGTGATGTGTTAGAATCAGACGGAGTTCTGATTCTAGACGCTTAAATTTTTGAAAATTAAAAATTAAAAATAAAAATTAAAAATTATATTCTATTTGAGATAGAGATAGACAACGGTTTTCTAAATCGAATT